TAAAATTGTCTATGCTAATTAGGACCGGATAGCCAAACCTCCTTCACGGTTGTGATTTTCTTTGTATTAACTTGATGAATTCTTAATGAGTTTGAGAAATTTTCGGCGAAATTTAATCCCAACAACCTGGATGACTTTAGGGGGAAAGGGATCTTACTAGCTGGATTTTGCGTTTGTGTACTAGTGCATTTTTGGTGCTATCGAAAAAACAAAAACAAAAACAAAAACAATCGCCTACAAATGGAGGAGTCAAGTCCTTGTAAGTACAAGCAAACTCATGTATATACGTACCCCCACCTTGGTTCAAAGGACGGGAGCGGATGGAAACCCTCCCCAAGGGTTTCCTTGCAATAAGACGTATAAGATTGTCTTGCCTTTAATAGATAACCCTCAGATTGCTCTCCAAGATGAGATACTGTTTGTTGCTCTTGACGTTATACACTGTATTACGTCTCTCAGGACGTCATTAAGTCGGCCATGAATTTATATTCTTGAATTTTATTATTTTTAGAAAGGGCAAAATTAGTATGCGTAATTAAAAGGCAAAAAGGTAAAAAAGGTAAAAAGGTTAAGTCTGCATACAAGCTAAGTGTCCCAAGAGGCCAAAGCTTATCCCAGTTTCTGCAGCATGAAGCGACTAGGAACATTTCTACTGCCCTCTGAATGGGTTGTTAGTCCATCACAGAGTTGCCCCCAGAGAGGTGCACTATGAGAGTAAAGTTCCGTGCCCAAGAAGACAACACAATGTCCCCGGTCAGGGCTTGAGCCAGGACTGCTCGATCCGGAGTCGAGCGCGCTAACCATCAGGTCACCGACCTGAAGTAACACCAGCGGGATGTGATTTCTGTTGCTGTTTTTTGCTTTATTACCTGTTAATTTACCTTATTTCCTCGAGTTATAGTTATTCCGTTGCAACCACTTCCAACGCCTTTCGCAATTTTAACAGAGCTGAGAGGTCCCTCAACGCTAAACCGGCTCATTGATTAATGTACCTCTTGAGATATGAAATATACATGTGCAAATGAATTTTGATTTTTTTCTTTAACAGTTAACTATATGTAATTTTGTTGTTGTTGTTGTTGTTGTTGCCTAGTATCTTTCGTTTCTATTATTATTCTTTTTTATATAGAAAATTAACTGTTCTTTGCAGCGCTAGAACTGTAAAAAGTTTATACCTGCTTGGTTAAATAAAGTGTATATTGTTATGTTATGCATAGTTGGGGACACTATCTAGATATACTAAAGTATAATTAGTAGTCATAGTCGTAGTCATAGTAAATTTTCTTGCCGTGGTCAATTCTGTCCAAGAGAGAAAGGTGCAATGAGGTTTACCCTATGTAAAGCACCAACCCGTGAGACAAGGCCAGACCACAACACCGGGAATTACGTGCCCTACTCTTTTCGATGTGTGTGGGGTCTAGATCTTTTACGCCCATGTAACACTGAAGCTGCAGGAGACAGAGCTTACGGTCTGTAGTCCTTATCCGAGAGGACTTGAACGTCTAATCATTTGCAGTTATATAATAATCCAGGTTATTTTCGCATTTTGATTGGTTTTCGCTTATGATCTATTAGAGGACAGACGCACGATTGACGTCATCATTACAACGCTTTTCCCTCTGTGTTTTAAAATGGAGGAAAGTTTTGAGAATTTGGATAATATTTTACATGACTGGGCAAAAGATAAGGTACAAAAAAGTCTTGTCGAGGCATTGAACAGGTACGAGAAGCATAGTCTAGCAGAAAGAAGAAAGATAAAGCCGTTTCTTTTTTGGAAAATGCCTGAGAAAAATACTCGAGCAGTCTCAGTCGGCAGTCGAGCGAGACTAGACCAAACACAAAATTGGTCTTGGTAAGCGGAGAGCCATTGCTTTATCTCGAATTTAACAAACCCAATAAACAAAATGTTTATGAGATTAATTTATTTAAAAAATTCAACTTTTCTCAGTCTTAAAATAATTGTTGACGCACTGATTGATGGCAGGAATGAAACATCAAAACCGCTTCTTAAAATCAATTAAAATGAACACATAACCTTCCTTTCCGATGCGAATGTTCCAGTCCGTTTCAGGGCACAGAAGCGAGTAAAGTATAGCTCACTATAGCTCACGGCCAACTGTATCACAGCTAAAAGGTATTTCCAACACTATTTGAAACTGATTTAAGAATCATCAAACACAGAGGACATTTCCACCATCACCATAAACGCTCCTTTCATTCAAAACTCAAATCGAATGGCCTCCAGGTTGACCGCAACCGCAAGTTTTCCGAG